ACTCACTAACATCATTAGTTTCCAAACTAGGAAACTAATTAATTTAAAATCTTGGTCGTCAAACATGTTGGCACCATTAGTTTCCAAACTAGGAAACTAATTAATCTAAAATCTTGGTCGTTATTAGTTTCCAAACCAAGAAACTGGTCAATCTAAAATCCTGTTTCCAAATCATTAATTACTTCTTATGTAATGGATACACTTGTAATTATATAAAATCAAAAATAAAATTATAATCAGTTTAATAAGACATCATAGGCCTATTAATGCATGTCAGGTACTCATATGTAATCTAACTTGGTATATAACAATGGATATAGGGTACTCATTCCTCCCTTCAACATTATCAGGCCTATTAATGTATGTCAGGTACTCATATATAATTTAACTTGGTATATAACAATGGATATAGGGTACTCATTCCTCCCTTCAACATTATCATAACTAATTAATTCATATTATGTACACAAGATATTCATGTTCATTTAAACATTATTATAACTAATTAATTCATATCAATATTATCACAACAATACAACAACAAATTCTGCAATTTATCAATAAGTTCACATGAATTGGAAAGACAAGATACAAGGCACCTACATGTTTTCCTAACTGACTAAGTCCCTTTAATTACTGACGACCCTACTCTAGGCATCTCTCATATTTAGGAATCAAGAGATACAATCAAATAACCTTTTATAATTTTATCATAATATGCATTCTCGTACTATTTCAATTTCATTCAAATGAATTCATCACCATGTATTAATTTCATTTTTTAATTATTTTTTTTCAACTATGTCATTACACTTTCTAAATTAGTTTTCATTCAAGAGCATTGTTTTCCATTTTATTTGTAAGTAAAGGTATAGGTTTCAGTTTTAAGCATGACTTAACTCCTTTGAAAGATAAAACACAACTCTACAACTCTACTGAGAATAGAAAGCGCATTTTTTTCCCTTAACACTCCTGAAATTATCCGTTATAGTACTCAACATAATCTGCCTAATATGATACAATTCTACTTTTTTTTCCATTTTTAGTCCATATATAGAGTTTTATAACTCTAAATTAAGCAAGATTATTTTTGTTTAAAAGATAACATTCATACTTGCCATCTTTAGGAGAAACCAATATTAAATTTTTATCATTTAGGTGCCCTAACCTCAGCTAGAAGTTGGGTGACTAAACTATTCAATCTCAGTACATAGATTGGGCAACCAATCTCACTTTACCTACTATATTTTGTTTTTACATTAATAACCTAAAGTTTATATATATCATTACACTATCATAATTTTTAGATTTACCGATGGAATTTTCTATCGGTATTTATTATATCATTTCATTGGTAATTAATTTATCAATGAAATCACCAATGAAAATGTTTCGTTGATAAATCTTTCATCGATAATTTTTATTTGTAGATAAGTTTGTTGGTAATTAAAAAAATATTATTACCTATGGATTTACTGACGAAAAAGGCATGTAAAAAATTAAAATTATCCGCTTTATTTCATTGGTATTTCCCTCGAAAAATATCATATGTAATTCTATCGGTAATTATTTAAAAATATTTTTAAAAAATCCATTTTACAAAACTATAAAATAATTAAATTAATATAAATCAACACTCTATAAAACCCAAAACACTTAGAAAAAAGAAGAAGAAAATCATATGAAAAAAAAAATCCTACAACAATATTCATACAATTATTAAGAACAAAAATAATTAAAAAAATAAAATACATATAGTGAAAAAAAAATATGAAAAAATAAGAAGAAAAATCTTATCTTAATGTGATTGCAAGTGAAGCTAAGAAGAGAAAAAAAATCCTTAGAGTATATTAATTAAAAAAACTAAGAAGAAAAAAAAAGAATAATACATATTTGAGTATGAAGGAGAAGAGAAGGAGTTGAGGAGCAGAGAGAAAAGAAAAAAAAAATGGATATTGATGTTTTTTACATATAGAAAAGGAAAGGAAGAAGAAGAAGAAGAAAAAAGCCTCATCTGTTGTGAAATTAAGGATTATAGGCTTTTTTTAGGCATTTTACCGATGGATAATTAAATATTAATATTTTTAATCATTCTGTTAGTGCTTATAGATGTAGTATTTTATTTAAAATTTTAATTTAATAAAAAATTCCAGAAACCGTCAAATATCATCGATGATTTTTTAATATATCGGTTATTCCATCTGTAATATTTAATATAAAATTTTAATTTAACTAAAAAATTTTCAGAAAACCATCAAATAACACCGACTACTTTTTAATCTATCGATGAATTTTTTTCCATTGGATTCCTTTTGTATTACTATCATTCTGTTGGTAAAAAAAACACGTTATCGTTTTTTTCTTTATTTTAATTAATAAAATATTTCTATTAGTAAAATCTATCAATAATTTACTAATAAAAATATTTCTTTAATATTTCTATTTGTATTTATCAATTTTTAGTAGTGTCATTTATGTCTCTACTACTAATTTAGCTTATCCAAACTTCGCTAGAATCCATATTTATCACAAGGTCCTTTTTTATAAATGGCTTGCCCCCACTTCGCTTACAGAATTAAAATATCTTAGGAGTCCAAATTGAGGTGTTTAAAGTATTAAGATTATTAAATGACACATACATCCTTTTCTGTAGATTGCAGAAAACTGCAGTAAGATACGTAAGAAATACTCTTGTATGTGGTAAAACCCACGAGCATTTTACACCTCCGTGCTACCTTTTAGAAGACACAACACAGCAAGAGACCGAATTAAAAGCAATCTACTTTATAAGATGGGCACCCCAAAGCATATAAAGATCCCATTCAGACTCTGTATTTCCATATAAACGGGAGGAAGTCAAAGCCAAAGTTAAGCGACCTAATAAATCCACATGCTTTAGGCAACCTACAATGATTAGTTCAGGACTTCCCCAGAAGCAACGGCCAACTCTCCAGCTTCATCGAGATGAACTTTAGGTTTCCAACAAACCTGCAAAAGGATGTAAATAAAAATTAAGTGAAAAATTTGACACGATGCTGCTTCCAGAATCCTGACGGTAAATGGGATATAAATAAATGACCTTGGAATGTTAGAATGATGAGGTGCCCACTGAAGAGTATCCTGCAGCTCTCATCTCTTTAAAAGTTCCAGATAACCAGTCCAGGCCCTCATAAAGTCCATCTCCCCTGAGAGCGCAAGTCCCCTGTATGTGCCATTTTCTGTTCTGGAGTTCGAAAAGACCTAGTCCTTCGCAGACTTCCATTGGGGTCATTGCTCCTTTCTGAACAAGAAAAATGGAGTCCAACATATCACTATAGATATAACCATTGAACAAGCATGCAATAAAAATCAACATGTATTTGTATTTCGATGCAACACTCTCATTGAATTCTTATGCAAGCTTACGGCAAATCTATTAACAATGATGCAAATCTATTAACAATGATCCAAATCACTATAGAGTGAGGTATAGATATAGCAAAGGCTGTGGTGTCTTGGCCATCGACATGAAGCTAATAGCGAAGGACAAAAAAATGGACCTCAACATATAGAAAGCATTTGCTGCTCTCAGCCTTCTCTAGTTTGTCCTCCTTACACTGGAGAGTTTTTGCCCTTCACTTCATCTGTTCGTGGATAAAATTGATTGATATTGTTTGCTCAAATTAATGAATGTTCTATTTCCAATTTTAAACTATTTAGCCATTGAGAAAGTAGAATCATTATCATGCATTTGTTCATCAGATGTTCACTCTCTGGGATGTTGGGGTATGAGTGGCATTGGCAAAACAACCATCACTGGAGAAGTGTTTGATCAGATCTCTACTCAATTTGATGGTTCCTGCTTCCTTGCCAAAGTTAGAGAACAATTGGGAAATTATGGAATACTTCATTTACTGAAATAACTTCTTCTAATGTATTGACCAACACCATCATGAGACTCAGAAAGAACTTGCAGAAAAAATGGAAACAGCAACCTGCTGTGCTTTCATTCAAATGTCCATGTGGTCTTAGCAAATCAAAACAGAAGGCCCTGGGGTGGGGGAAAGGGAAGGAGATTGAAAGACATGAAAACAGGCCCTAAAGTATCTAAATACTGTTTCAGACATATGGATGCCACCTTTCCATTAAAGCCATAGCAGATTTAATAAATCAGCCCTTTTATACAAGCTTCATTTCACCTTGCAAATTTCTAAAGTCCAAGATCTAAGTGCCAAGAACTCTTCAGCAAGCACATGAGATGTAAGAGCCTTGATGCATGACATAAGAAGCAAGTCTGAGAAGGCATAATTACTACTCGCATCTAGTGCAGTTGATAAACTTAGAAAGCAGTCCGGCAGTCAAGTATTTTAATCAAATCCCTACTAGAGAAAGTTAATAGCTTGATGTTATGAATTTTACTCAAAATTAGTGAGGCTTCACCAAGTGATTCTCTTGTTTAAAAGAACAAAAGATTGATCTGAACAGAAGTTTTAAAACCTATATATTTCCAGAATAAGCAAAGTTTTTCAAATTTCTAGCTGCAGCTTGCCAAATATCTAAGTTCAGCATTTCAGATGCATCTTTTCTAAACAAAAGAGTCTTAATATTATCCTGATGTTTCAACACTGTTGTCAAGGTATCATATCTGGGTTTGATACCTGTTCTTCCTTTTCTTTTCTTTCCTTTTTTTTTTTTTTGCAATGTTAAAATTAGAAGAAAAAAATAAAGATTGCCTTATGTACATTTCAAATACAGATATCATCCAGAATAAGTAGGAGGAAATAAATACCATCTAAAAAATTTACCAAATGCAAATACTATTTTACAGCCAAAAAGAAAAGATTTACCATTATCACTGTAATGAATTCAAACAATACAGAACAGTCCTTGTTCAAAACTCTCAGAAAGTTTATTATGCAGAAAAGACTATATTTCAGGTATCATACATCTTAATTCATATTTCATCTTTCATTAGCCTCACATTTTTAGAAGCATGTAGCTCAAAGGATTGTCACCTTGAGAAATATACAGATGTCAGCACAAAAGTTAAGAGATCCATTCATGCAGATATGCTGAGATTAGGGCTGTCACAAACCTCCTCCCTATTCCCCCATGTTGATGAGCTTATAATTGCATAGGGGTGCAGAAAGACAAATGTTATGGGATAGGATAATTTCCCTTTTCTCTGTATGACGTCATGATTCAGGTTCATTTGGGTGAGTATTGTTAGCTGATTCTGTTTTTATGCTTTTATATTTTAGAGGATGTATTATTATCTAACATGATTTTGTAATTCTTTTTGTCCGTTAATATAACTTCCATTAATCTTAAAAATATTCAGGTGTAGCTCATTTTTTTTATTTGAGTAATGAGAAAACAAATGTAGGTGAATTTGCCTAGATTATAGTTTATCCAATAAATTACTGAAGTGGGTAATGAACAAATCTGGAAACAGAACGAGGCCTTTTTATATGAAACAAAATAACTGATAACCTGCCCTACGAATAAAATATGGAGATTAACAATTCATATACAAGTTCATCAAACAAGAAACCATACATGAATACCAAATTGCATTGCATGGTTTCAGTCAATGCAAATATAGAGAATCACAGGATAAATGATTGGCACAACAGGCTCCAGGAGTCAGTCACAGCAAAAGGGCAGCTTAGATTGAATAGACATGGTGATTAATCATTGTAGCAAGTAAAATGAGTGCGTGTCTGTGTGTAGTTAGTCTTTTGAATTATGATTATAAACTTGTACTGGGATTTTATATCCTCTCTGCTCTACATCTAAATCATAAAGACAAAATCTTCTCTGTGATGTTCTACTTTGCAAGATTGCGAGGGTCAGAATGTATCTGTGCAGGACATTGACTTGGATATTTCAATTCGTATGCGGCTCATCAGAATCACTTAAGGAGTACTCGTTTAATGAGTTTTATGTGTGTGGGAAAGCACATCAAAAACCACTAATAGAACTCACCATGTCCTGTTTGTTGGCAAACACCAAGATGATACTGTTGAGCATAAATGGATCTTTGACGATGGTCTGAAAGAAAAGGTGGTGGTCAACTTAGAACTCTTTCTAACACTAGCATGGTAAAATCTGCATACCTTTCTGAATACACAACCTGAAATTCTGCCTTAGCTCTTCCAATTCTCTCCCGGTCCAACGAATCAACAACATATATCTGCATAGAGAAATATACTTACTACTGAAAACAAGGTACAAGCAGTTGTACTATTACAAGACCCTTCAGCTTCAAGACAAAGCATATGAGTAGCACAGACGTATATGTGGATCAATGCAAAGCGAAAATCGAGATTTAGAAAGAAACAATGGATTGCAAGAAGCATAACCGGGCAAAATAAGACACGCTGACAATAGCCATTACCAGTCCATCGGTGTTATTGAAGTAATGCCTCCAGAGCGGCCTTAGTTTCTCTTGTCCACCAACATCCCAAACGGTGAACACCACATTCTTATACTGAACTTTCTCCACGTTGAACCCTGTGGGAGAAAGGAGGCATAAGCATACCTATATAATACTTAAGCGCTGCTCCTCCGATCAATGGAAGCATACCCATAATATAAGGAAAGATGTTGCAAGAAAAAAAGACCAACCAATAGTAGGGACAGTGGATAACACTTCTCCAATGTGCAACTTGTAAAGTATGGTAGTTTTACCCGCTGCATCGAGTCCGAGCATGACAACCTAATTCAGCTCCAAACAAGTTTGGATTGGCGAGTTTCAAGAATACAGTCAAAATCTCTTGAATTTCACTTCTCATGCGAAATTAATTTGAATAAAGCAAAAGGATATGCCAGAGAAGAGTACCCGCATCTCGGTATTGCCGAAGAAGGTGTCGAAGAGCTTGCGAAAGGCTTGACCCATCCCCTCTCTATGATGATGATCTTCCCAGGTGTTCCTCAAGTCTATCACTTACTGTCTAGTACTTCTTGTCTGATCTAAATCTAATAGAGTTCTGTTTCTCTCTTCTTGTTTATACTCTTCTTTCTCTCCAAACAGAGAGAATAATGACACGACACAGATGATCGCACGCCATGGCCTCTGCTTTTCTTCCCTTTTCTTCCCGTCCACATGGAATTTCATTTATTCATTTTCTTCTCTCTCTCGACTTTTTAGGCTAAATTTCGTCACTGTCAACTTCCACTTTATTTCTTCGCTACCCTTGTATTTTCCAAAAGTTCTTATGGTGCCTCTCGCTTGCTTTTTGTGCTTGCTCTTAACATTTCTTTTGTACAAGGTGAGAAATCCATTTATTTGCACCTTCATCGTTAAAAAAAAAAAAAAACACAGAGAGAAAGACACAAAATTCAAAGTTTCCCTTCTTGAAAAATCTAAAGATTAGGGATAAGTTATTACAAGAGTGGTTATTACAAGAATAATTCATAATTCATACAACTTGTGAGCTCATCTATTTCATGGCAGTGATGTGTGTTAGAATTTCAATTATACTACAATATTCATTACTCTAATTGTTAAATACCCTTGTTTTGCATAGAACTTGATCGATGAGATGATTAATAATGTAAACATTAATCTCTTTTATTAATGTTTGATCTCAACTATCTTCACAGAGTGAATAGCTACTATTCTTAATCAAAATATAGGTAGTTGCTTATTTTAAATGTAAAAAATACCCTCCATAATGTGGTAAATTGAGCATTGTTACATTAAAATATTGACCATGTTTTACTTACTAACATATTATCAAACTAAGAAACTTCAAAATGAAATGTTGTTTGGCTTAGATGTATGTTTAGGATTGTAAGAATTGTTACATTAAGTTTTTATCTTATAATTAATCAATTAACACCTAGATCTTCATCTTTTTATCCAAAAATCTCCAATTTATTTTTGCTAAAAAAAATGATTTTCAGAAAACATAAGTTTACTTCTCCAATAGAAATAACATCTTCCAATGCTTCTAAACAAAAATAATATATAATCACTTGTTGTCAAAAATACATTGATTGTATCCCTAAAATATTGAGAAGTCATAAGAAGAGCTCTAGAAAAAATGAATGAGGAACATCCTGGCCTTTACAAAGAAGAAATTATCCTAAAAAGAGATAGCTTCTTCCTTTTTTATATTAATAAAGAAAAGCTTCAACTTTAGGATGACTGCATCAACTTGAATATCTAAAATAAGTTGAGGTTTACATGGTCATTAATTTTAGGGCCCGTGGGATTAGTCGTGATGCGTGTAAGCTAGCCCGGACACCCACGTTAATCTAAAAAAAAAAATTAATTCTAATATGGCCTTATGTTGCCACCAATTACTACACCAACTAACTACGAAGAGTTCAACATTATTTTATTAAGGAATGGAAACTCTCCCTTTTCTGGTCAATCAAGTAATGGCTTTATCTTCAAGTATGGAAGTATGGCATGTAGATCATTACTTTGTATAATTTGTCCATGATAGGAGGTCTGTACCGAGAGGTGAATAAATATCACTCTTTTAAAAATAGAAAATAAAGAAGAAAAATTTTCAACCCCATATGAACATGTAGCCTTCCTTCTATATTGGTTTTATAGGAACTTGATATATTCTAGATTAAAAAAACTAATTAATTCCTATTTGAAGATAATTATGGTCTAAGTGTAGAATTATAACTTGTTGGATTTCTCGAAACACACACACAATAAAAACTATAAATTTAAAAAAAAAAATGAAAGTCTCAAAGATCTCGTTAAATGAATTTAAAATTATATATAGTTTATAAGAGAATTACCTGAAGATCAGATTTTTTTTTTTTTTGCTTTGAATATTTACTTCAAGATTGAGTTGTCGTAGACCACAACTCATCCAAATGTATGGTCTCTAACGATAATCTACACAAACCACTAGTAAGAAATCTTCTAAACCCTTTTAGAAGAGAGAGATTGTTATGTCTTTGAATGTTAGTTCTTTTTTTTGTGTGTGTTTTTCATATGTTTCTGTATATTATACTCTACTCTCAGAAAATAAAAAGCATAACTTTCTATTTATAGAAAAACCTGAAAACCCTATAAATAGAAAAATATCAATTTTTCCCTCGAATAATATCGCATATATTAATTCAGAAAAATTTTATAAATTTATTCAATTAAGTTTCTACTTGATTTTTCTAGGTGTATAATTGTAATTCTCTATATAAATTATACACTACTCAATTTCTAAAATATATTTACAATCAAGTCACATTTGATTAATCATTCCATTTTAATTTATGATCAATTATTCTTATATGTGTGACATTAGGTTTCCTAATAAGTTGATACAAGAATAAATCATAATCCTAAATAAAATAGGATTAAATTAATTAATTTATTATCAATTCAATAATTAATTGATTTATATTTGAAGATCAAGTACAATGTTTAACAACCTGTCATGTTCTTCTAAATATTAAAAAAATTATAAATGGTTTGACTTAACATTTCAATAATCGATTTCTCAAAGTAATTATTATACATGCATCAGCAATATCCTAATTTAGATATTATAGTATGGAGTATATTTACTATATCAAATCATGTTTGTTCTTAACACTATAGTTATTTGTTTTTCGAATAAGATTTGAAATTTTTTTCAAATCTCATTCCATCTTGTACAAGAATTTATAATCAATATTATTTAAGAATATATAAAAAAATTTCTCTAATTTACCTAGAGTGATGAATCCTCTCTTGGTTATTTAAATATCTTCATATAATTTATGTTATATCTAATATCTACCCATTTGTTTTCCTTGATAAGAGCAATATGTAGTAGACAAACACCTACATATTAGTTTTAAATCTCCTTCATAACTTAGTTTATAAGAACAACTATTTCTTTTTATAAAAAAAAAGAACAAAAGCTTATATATAGAAATTAATTATAGCCACTGAGACTTTATCTATATATCTAT